AAATCGGTTTGTATGGGAGGTGCCACGCCCCCTTTTCCAATAACCACCATTTTTCTCCATGAGTATGCGATTGGTTTGATATATCTCCATGCCAAGTTAGAGTACTCTACCATGAACACTTCCAGAGATATGTAGTATGAAAAAATCGGTTTGTATGGGAGGTGCCACGCCACTTTTTCCAATAACCACAATTTTTCTCCATGAGTATGCCATTGGTTTGATATATCTCCATACCAAGTAAGAGTACTCTACCGTGAACACTTTCAGAGATATGCAGTATGAAATATTCGGTTTGTATGGGAGGTGCCACGCCCCCTGAACCTAGCGATATGAAATATACTTTACATCCGATTCTCATACCTACCAAATATACACAAAAAATTTCATAAAGATCGGTCCAGCCGTTTCGGAGGAGTTCGACCACTAACACCGTGACACGAGATTTTTATATATTAGATATACAAATCCTGAAAGCTACTCTGAAAGCACTTGATTTCATCGAAACTAAGTCGGCCGCTGTGGTGTAGTGGTAAGCAGTGCGCGCTTCCACTCCGCAACGCCTGGGTTCAAGCCCCGGTCAAAGCAACATCGCAAAAATATAGAAAAAATGTTTTTTTCTTAACAGCGGTCGTCCCTCGGCAGGCAATGGCAAACCTCCGAGTGTATTTCTGCCATGAAAAACAGCGTCTCATAAAAATACAATAGCCGTTCGGAGTCGGCGTAAAACTGTAGGTACCTCCGCTTTGTGTCACAACATCAAGGCGTACGCCACAAATCGGAGGAGAAGCTCGGCCAAACCTTAACATATGTGTAAGCGCCAATCTATTATTACTATTATAAGTAATTTATGATGTAACCTGAACATAATTTAAGACAAAAATGTTTTACTAATGGAAACTATAGAACAGTCATGTCCAGCGCAAGGCACTTGCTTATGGACTTCTGCCAACGTTAGGCATGACTGCTATATAAGGTGTAGATGTGGGGTAATACATATTCAGCTATTTCCATTTTTTTTTTTTATATAGCATTACTTTAAAATTTAAAATCAAGAAACATAAAAACACGTATGCACTTTAGAATGTACCACTCACCAAATAAATCAATACTTTTTCCGTTGGAATTATAAACTCTATTATATATTGAGACTTCTGCCAAAAATACCAGTTTAAGCAAATTTAATCAACTCAAAATAATGATATCCGTGGAGGTATTTCCAAATAGGTCCAGCCTTTCTTAGTTGGCAATACAACCGTTTGTCAGTTTGGGCCGAGACCAAAAGGCTTCTGCTGTGCGAATTTATGCCAGTTGGTTATCCCGAGCGCAGACAGGTCCTCCTGCACTTGGTTCTTACATTGAGTTCGCGGGCGCCCTTGCTTTCATTATGCACCCACGGGTGCGAAGTTGTGGCGCTTTTCACCGGAGCGTCGTCATCCATGCGTACAACATGTCCAAGCCAGCTCACGTAAATCAATATTTTTCCGAAATATTTAAGCGGAGTTCTTAAAAAGTAATAAGTTTTATAAGTCCGGTGGAAAACCCGCAACTTGTTGGGTGAGGCACCCCAAAACATACATAGATAATACAAGTAAATATGTACATTACGGTGGTCCAAAAATACACAGGAAAATCAACGTTTTAATATTTTCTTGCTGCCACTCAAGAAATATAGAAAATAGAAAATCGGGAGACTCGAATTTTTTATTTTGAAATGAGCTAATAGTTAATTGTGCCGCCGCACATTTCTAGAAAATATTAATTAAATTATTTTATGTCGTCCAATTTCAAAACAACGTCAAAAATTTTTGTAGAAATGCCTGATAAAGACGAAACAATATCAACTAAAAAATTTAAATCAAAGAGTAGGGCGGGAAGGGATTTGATTTGGAAAATTACCAAGCGCAATATTTAAATTTTTATATTTGAAACTGAATCTCAATGTTTAATTTGTCGATATTATGTGATTTATGCAACAATTGCTAAAATACCATTTTGGTCTTATTTTTTTTAAGTATGTTCTTTTTAATGAATATAAATTTTTGGGATTTTAGTGAACTAGGACTGAGTATTTCATTTAAAAGTAAAACGAGTTAACTTAAATTTATTAATTTCATTAGACCCGCAATCTTATTATCCGCAACTATTCGATAAAGCTTGTATCTCAATTTATTTGTCACTCCTCTTAAACTTAAAACAAGACAATTTTAGCTGCTGGAAAGTTTTGGTTTTGATGAATTTTCTTTTTTTAGGCCTACAAGGAGCTTCATTTACTTCGATTAATTCATTTGCATTTCCCTCTTGAATAGAGAAAGCCTAAATCGTTACCTTTCCAATGGTATCCCATTTTTGTAAATAGAGCAAGAAATATTGAACTTATAACGGAATTTTGTTGACTTGACTTTTTTTATCGATATTTTCCACGCCCATAATTCAAAAATATATATATATATATGTATTTATTTTTAAGTCCATTTCTGTCAGTTTATAATTCCTTGTTATAGGGAAATTCTAAATATCAATTTTGGGCATTTTAACCTTTGTAGTTAGTTAAATATTTCAGCCTTTGCCTTTTTAAAAATTGCAGATATATAATAGGGTGGCGTAATAGTAATTCTAAATGACCAATTATATATATAACGTACCTTGTGCAAAATTTCATTCAACTATCTTCAAAAGTTTTCGAATTACAGAATTAAAAGCAGCTAGATGGGTCAAATCTTAGCTTGTGCGCCGGGGCTTTGAAGTTTTCAATATATTTTATATCGGCAAAATAAATTGTTTCGTATTATTGCTGTAAAATTGTTAAAAATAAATATTTTTGCATCAAATAAACATTTTACCCTTCATATACATTTTTATATGAAGAAAATATGCTATTTCGCAAAATTGCTATGAAGTTGTTTAAAACAAAAATTTTTTGGTCTAATAAAAATATTTCCCTTCAGAATCTTGCAACAATAGAATTATTATGCGAATTTAGCACTAAAATTTTACTACTTTTTTAACACACGTAATGTTCTTACAAGCACATAAATCAAATAATTTTTGTTAATAAAAGATAATAGCATTTTCGTAGATTTCAATTAAAAATCGGACTACGATAGATTCTGTGATAGCCCTGATGGCGGTTATAATCATTCCCCTACAATTTGTGGTGTACCTCCTGATGTTATAAAACCAATAGAGCGACCTACAGTATTAGCCGACCTCGAACGGCAAATAGATTTTATGAGCAGCTTTTTCACGCAGAAACACTCCCAGCTTTGCCATTGCCTACAGAGCGGCGTCCGCTGTTAGAAAAACCTTTTTCTATTTTAGATGTTACCTGGGTCAGGTATCGAACCCGCTCCTACGCAGTGGTATTACCTCTGACCTCTCAACGACAGCGGCCGCCATCATTAGAGCGCTTTACATCAAGTTTTGGCGGCATAATTTAGGGGCAGTAGTTAAGACACTAATCATATGGTGAGTTTTATCATTGGCGTGGGAATATGGTTGTAAAAATTACTCGATTCGAGACAGCCGTGAACGAGCTTCCTGTCACGCAAAATGCATTTTTATTACAGACGTGAGCGTAGTATTCCTCTCGTAATTCGTAATATGGTGACCTTCAAATCTACCATCACTTCAAATAAATTATGATACGTTTGATTGCGTATGTTATAATCCCAATTTGTTTAGACGACAGCAGAGCACAGTTTGAAGTAGTCGTATGAAAATGAGTCGCTTTATCTAAAGCTTTTCTTGCTCTTGAACAGCTCCAAGAGATTCTTCCAAATTTGGATAGAGCTTAAAGTTGTGCTCAACGCCATTACACATAGCCATTCAAGTTTTGCCACGATCCCAAATTAAAATACTGCCGAAGGGTTCGTTGAGCCTACTTCTATCAATAGGACTTCATGAACTGCGAAAATCTGCACTTTCAAAATTAGGTTTGCCATTTACGTTTGTCTGCTTTTAGGTGTTTTTATCACGTTAGGCTTTAATTAAAAATTAAATTTTCCATCACTGTTAAACTAGTTTATTGCTTCATCTTTTAGGCGCACCATTCAATGACGAGTTTTTGAGTAGAAGGCTCAAGAAACCTAATTTAGAGTTTTTTTTCAATATGAGATAATTTTGCGCCTTGCACTTTCTAATGTGAGCCTGACGTTGTTGGATTTTAAAATATGTAAATATCCAAAAATTTTAACTGGTAGAATTTATGGAAATCAATTTGTACTTAGACTTGTGTGGTAGAGTACGGATAAAAATGAATGACGAGTGTTTTGTTTATATAAAAAAAAATGTATTCACTGTTTAAAATATATACATAACATAATGTAGATGTGAAAACATAATATCCATACAATGAAACTTCATAAATGTTTACATAAACATACATATTGCAATTGTTGTTTAGCAGGTGGTTGTTCTTGTTGTTCGGGGACACTAGTAATCTACATATGTATGTCTTTTATATGAAATAGAATTTGTTTGCTTGCTTTTTGTTGAATTGTTTTGTTTGTTTGTTATTTTTATTATTTACTCATTTGGTTTTGGCAACAATCTTGTTTTCTCTCTCGCAAAATATTGTTAAATTTTGTTTTGTTATTTAAACGGTACCTTTGATATTTCAGATACTTTACACTCGTTTTAATTTTTTAGTCTGTGCATCTATTTTTTTTTGTTTTTTTTTTGGTTTTTAATTTCTGTTGGTGTAGTTCATATACGTTTCGATCGGTTCGCATTGCTGTTAATAAAGAAAATTACACTTTTTTATATTGCATTGACGAGTAAGTAATAATTAGTTTAGTAAGTTTGTAATCAGTTCTATTGATGTGGCTCTGGCTCATGTTATGTATATAGTAAATGTATAGTTTATATTGCTAGGCTAATTTTAGGTGTTAGTCACTTACTTACCACTGTTTACTTGTTAAGTTTTTGGGTTTTGCTTTTTAATTTATGACCGCTTTAGAGTCACTACACTCGTATGTACCTATATAATTTATGTACATATGTATGTATGTTTGTATGGTATGCTAACATTATATGTATGCCAATTGAAGTAGTGGTAAGAAATGTACATACAATGTTAATTACAAAATGCTTAGTTTTATACACCCTGCCACACAGCACTGATGTGTTTGGTACATACATACATTTATCAGATTCAGAATTACATTCGTTCAGCGATTTATAATCAAAACAAAAATAAACGACAATCAATAGCGTCACTTGTCGCGATTAATGAGATGAACACCCGAAAAGGAACAACAAAACCAGGCAAAATGAGTATGCAAAGAATAAATAAATAAATTAATTAATGTTATTCATTTAAACTAACTGAAAACCTTCAAAAGCCTAAAGTATTGTTGTATTTAATGAATTTACTCAATTGTATGAAAAATACTTTCATGATTTCCACACTTTCGAGTTTAGAGGGAATTCCATAAATTTCTTAATTTTTTCTTGTAATTTCTGATAAATAAAAGCGTTTTCCAATTAGTGTTTGTTTGCATTTTACTTTACTTAATTTAAACCTAAAAATTACTAAATGATTAAAAAACTAAAAAAAAAAAATAATAATAAATACAAGCAAACTACATATTTGAATAAAATGAACAAAAGTCGCAACCTTTAACAAAACTCACAGCGAACTACATACGAACGGTCATAGAACAGAACTGACCATAAAATAGTCGCAGTTAAGATTTTTTTGTCAAAAAAATTTTGAAGTAGCTACTTGTAATTATCGTCAGATATATTACATAGATTATAATAATGTTTGTGGCTGAAGCTGTGGCGATGTATGTGCGCATGCTGCTTATTTTTGGCGTCGTATTATGCCATTTCTAGACACGCAATATTTCACATGCTTTCTTATAGCAAATCGCTATCCAATCGGGTTGTGTCGCACCCCATTGTATTTGATTCACTTCACCTTCGGCGGCTGTGTATGCCAATATTGGATCCTCAATTGCGCGCGGCATTTGTTGTATATCCCAGATCAGTGCTTGGTGATCATCACCGGCAGTGCATATGTGACAGGAACTATTTTAATAAAAAAAAAAAAAAAAAATGGAATAACAATTGCGGCTTTTTAGTTGAGTTCACTAATGAATACACATATGTATGTATGTAACTTACCTGTGCGGCGCCCACGCAATACCATTGACGCACGCTCTGTGATTGCTCAGTCTTGCAACAGGTGTACAAGGAACACGAACATCTAAAATTATAACTTCACATGAATCCATCGCTACTGTGGCTAAATAATTCGGATCCTGTTTATTCCAGGCTAAACGTAACAAAGCCGTATGCGTGGGATCCTTTTTGAATAAAAAGAAAATTGATAAACAAATCTGTATACAATTTAAAATAATAATAATAAAGATGTGCCTCAAAAAAATGGAAACTCAAGCAGTTTAGTAAAAGTTTTGAAATTATCGAGACCTTCTTTGCATATCAACAGCTTTCAACACACCTCATATATGATAGTCGAATGTTCTAAATGCCTCAGATCGAACATACGAACTGAGCCATCTGCGCCGACCGATGCGAACATATCGCGTCCACCGCCTGCTCGTGAGAAAGCTATGTCATATACCTCTTTATCATGCGCAATCAGTTGTGTTTTAACATGACCGGATACATAGACACGTCCATGTGGTTGTCCTGTTTCCAGGCCCCAGATTGTGCACGTTGTGTCAATCGAGGAGGTGCCAACGAGATTCGGATCCACTTCATTCCAATCGAACGATGTTAATGGCGCACAGAAGTCACTATTTTTATTGTTATTTAGAATACACTCCAGCCGTGTATCTGGTTCCCCGGCGCGCCAAACACGTAAATAGTCACCTGTTATTTTATTAGAATTGTAATAATTTCTAAGTATGTGGACGCAGTTTCATGAGTATGTACGTACCGCTGGTTGCTAATAAGTCGGGATAGATTCCTTTGGAATCTGGTATCCACATTATTTTAGTAGTCGGGTATGGATGGTCGAAAGTGCTGAAAGAAAAATTAAACATATACAATAACTTCAAATTACCCTTTTTGATGTGGGTTTTAAATTACCTCTTAGCACTGAATTCGCTGGTATCTTCATCGAGACTTATGATTTGGACTTTGTTGTTGTATTCCTCAATGAAACTGCCTAAAGCAAGACGAAATCGTTTGTCAGGACGAACACTCCAGTTCATGGAGTATAGCGGCCATGGCGCTAGGTATTTGTAGATTTCTTTCCTCTTGCTAGCGGTTGATGACATAACTGCGTAAAGTATATTTTGTTAGTGTGAGACTCGCATTTAAATTAATATAATGTTATTAAATAGCCAGGTATTGCAGAATATTCGATCAAATGTGAAAATGGAGTATGGTACCAGGATTACATTTTGTTGTAAACCATATCCGAATGGATTTAGATTTCAAGGCTTACATACATATGTATGAAACAAAACTTAACCGACTCTATTAAGTTTCGAAGTAATAAATACTTTTATCAATCTTTCAATACTTAGGACCTGCCCCCGGGTCAATGGGTCAGCCTATTCCCGTTTTTCCACAACATAACAATTTATCTGATAAAACACTTTAGCATTGGTCATAGTGGCAGACACACATCCTCCTAAAGACCATCTGCGAGCGGTCAATGGCATTGAATGCGACGACAATAATTAAAAAATATAGCAACAAAGAAAAATAAATGAATGCGGACCGTTAAATAGTATATATACATGTAATAATCAAGCATTTACCTAAAACTACAAATGTACATACATTAGTACATATGTATATACTAAAATTACAGCAGCCGCAGCAGCTTGGTAAATAAGGAAGTACTCGTATGTCTGCCTATAGACTTACCTTAGCTTTTGTTTATGTACTCGTATATATGTGAAACGTATTAATTGCGAAAAATCGAAGGGGGTTTCTTAAAATCAACAGAATTTCAACTAAACCAATTCCGGAAATGAAAATGCAAAATAACCAAATCACTGCTAAAAAATGACCGATGCACACTAAAAACCCGGTCTCCGGCAATAATTTCACACCATTTTAGCTTTGTTTCTTAATTTGGCTGCCGTCTGCCTTGACGCCCGTACGTTTTGTATTCACGTTCCGATTGGAAAAATGTGTTCTTGTTGTAGGTTAACTTGTGTGGTATATTCGTCCAAAATATACAGCACTCAATACTCTTTAGCACTGAATTACTTTTGAAAAACACTTGAATATTCAAATAAATTGATTTAACACTGAAGTAGCAAAATTATCCCGTCTTTGCAGACGACAAAAAAGTGTATATAACAACGCGCAATTCTGACACTTTCTTTACATATGTACAACTTCAGCGAGTGAATGAGCAGTGTTGCCGACTACTTCAAATTTATGGAAGTGACATAGTGGCCAACCAAATGTTCTGATTTAATAATTTACTAGATTATGGAGAAGTTCAATGTTCACTTAAATTTTTTTTTTCATGTAGAAATACTTATCGCTTATTGTGTTAGATCTCAGTTTTTGGATAATTTATTATTGTTTTATCTTTTTTATCTACATATTACGAAATAGAAAATATAGTATATTTAATATAGTAATTACTAAATATTAATAGGGTCGCGACAGTGTGACAAGCTTCGACCATTTTTCTTTTGTTGGTTTAATATTTATTAATTTGAATACAAGTATAGCTTTATATTAAAAAAAGCATATAAATCCGAAATTCAAACTTTGTGCAAAATTTTAAAAAGTACAAAGTTTCACCTCTAATTGGAATCTCTAGAAAAAACTTTAAATTTGTAATATAATAAAGAACAGTTGCTAAAAAATAGCGTTAAGTTTTGTCTTTTTTTTTTTCGTTGACAGTGCAACAGCGTTCCTTCCAAATGAAGAAATTATTCAAACACCTTGGTTCAAACCATGACACAAAAAAGAGGGTAGTTTCATTTAATGACATACGTTGTTGTTGTTAACCATTTGACTTTTAATAAAATTATGACATTTCATCAAATTCATGCTACCTGATCACTAGAAAAAATATATTTTTTTTTAGCAGAAGATTTTATCAGTATCTATATTCAAAGATATGGAATATGATGAGCTAGAAAATTAAAGCATGAAGAAAGCATGAAGAAAGTGTATTCTCACATAACCATTTTGAAATATGCCTGTTTTTACTCTCTACAAAATAATTTATGCAACCTCACATACGCAGTTGTTTTTTTTTCTTTTGTTTTGAATTTACAAATCCACCGAATATGCAAATGCAAGAGCATATGCACAAGATCCTGAACAGCCCTATTATCTTTTATAATCGTGAATGGCTTCGAGCAAGAAGAAGAAATTATTGCATTGACAATTTGGCGTTTTAAAGGGATTGAATTTGATACAAGAAAACACAAGAATTTAAGAAATAATAAAAATACATATGAAAAAATTAAGCGAAAATTAATTCAGTAAAAACCTGCTTATTTAGTTACAACTTTAAACTAGTGCATAAATTAGATAGGTGTTGAAACGCACTTCCGGAAACTTGTCCATGTTCCGTTTCCGAGTTCACTGAGTGAATATTCAAAAAGTACATTTTTGAACATTGAATTAAGTTTTTATGTGTAATTTAATAAATTGAGAAATGAAAATTGGAATTGAAATTTGGCTTCATGATGTGCTACATTTTGAAGAACTATACTGTAATATCACCATTTGAACGAATGCGGCTGAAATCGTTAACCTTAACCTGATGAAAAACAAGACAAAATAATGTGAGTAATTTATAAATTAATATATATATTTAAATACACATGTATTTAGACTACAATCCTGAAACAAACCATTTCCGTATCGCAACATAATTCGTTTCTCTAAATAAACTTTTTTATATTCCTAAGAATGCTCAATAATAACATTATGCTTCTGCTAATTTCGGTATAATTTTCCTATAAATCTCAATTCCACGCAAATAAGTATCAGCTTTTATGAATTCATCGTGATCATGCAGTAAAACTGGAGTATTATTCATGGGCGAGAAACCCAAGGCTGGTATGCCAACTTCCCTTATATAACGGCTGTCGGTACCTCCAGCGAAAATTTGCTCCGATATTTTCAAACCCCTTAAAATATGCAAAATCATCTTTAATTAGAGAAAGAAATGTCTATTTGATTATAACCTACAATTCGTCGGTGGCACTCTTAAATGCCATCCAAAATGGATTGCTTTTATCTGTCGGAGTTGGAGCGACACGGGGACGTTTTTGTTCATATTCAAGTTCGATACCGCCACCAACGTCATTGCACCATTGATGAAGCTGAAGTTGAGAAACATATTACATTTTTTGTTTAAGAAGAAACTACTCAAACATATCGTCCCCATTATGTCAGAAACGTGAATGTGTACAAGTAATTTTTAAGCCAAAAACACAACCGACTTCAATTCTCATATAAAAATTTAGGAGGACCCATGATTCAATAATAGAAGGTTGTGTAATTTGTGACAGCTAAAATTTGACACTCCTTTATCTAGATTTGTATTTTGGAAGTAGGAGAAAGGGGAAGAATGTGATCGCATTTTGCGAAAACGGTAGTAGAAAGGTACTAAAAAAGTGCGCAAAGTATACAATTAGAAGTAAAATGTGTATAATTAATTCTATGTGAATTTGCAATATATTTGGTGTTTTAATGGAAATACTAAACAATACATAAAAATATGCATTTTTGATTTAAGTTATTCGTCATTTCCGGGAACAGATCTAGAATACCGACCGTTCAGCTATGCAAAAACGAAAAATGCAGATCAATAGAACTTTTTATGCTCATTTCAACCATGCCAATTTGGCGCAAGTAAAAAATGAAGAGGTTGTAGAAGGTTAGAGTTCAGTTTTTAGATATTTTAAATATTAATATCTTATGAACTTTATAACCGATTAAAAAGCTAATGACGTCACCATAAAGGCAATTAATTTGTTCTTCATCTGATGTATATAATTTATAGCCTTTTGTATTTTGAAACCAAAACTACTAGAAAACGAACAAATATTATTTTTTCATGAAATAACCTTTTTGAAAAAACTGCATAATTAATGGTAAAGAATTTTATATTATTTAGAAAGCACAAGTTATTATCTTTAATTCGATATTACATATTTTATAATGATCTACTTTTGGGTTTCAACAATTTAGTGATACTAAAAAATACAAATAAACCTCTTATATCTTCTTTTTTTTACCTGCGCCAAATAAATTTGGTATCGTTGAAATCAGCGTAAAAAGTTCTATCAATCGGCATTTTTGGTTGTTTTATAGCTAAACGGTCGCTATTCTACACTTGTTCTAGAAAATTACGCAAACGAAGGTAACGCCAACGAATATTTAGTATGAAGAATTTTTGGTTTTACTACTAATATCACTAGAAACTATAGAGTAAGCAACATTCTGCACAAGTAAAGGAGCCGATTTTATGTGTGGGAGCGAGAAGACTGTTTTATTACAAAACCTTTCTATTATTGAATCATGAGGAGGACCGTTAATTTTTTCATGATCCAATGATCGGATCTAAACCAAATTAGTATGGGACCACCTGTGAAACCTTTCCGATAGAAAAAGAATCATCGAAATATAATATACATATTTGGTATAACAAAAAACATCAAAAGGTTAATCAAGTCAATCCATTAACTCAAAATTGGCACATTCATGCTTCTGGCATAAGGTTGAAGATGTAATAAATATGAAGATAATTTCCAATACACGATTTCCCGCGTTTTACCTTATTTTCGAACTCATTTTGATCCACATCAATCGCTAGACGCACGTCGAAGCAAACCATCAGCAATGGCGGTACAACATTACTTTGTACGCCACCACCTAGGCGTGTTAAATTGATTGTGGTCACATCGCCGATTCTTAAGTCGGGATTATTTTCCAACTTTCGCAATTCTTGCTCACGCATCGCCATCATTTTGTTAACAATATAGCGGACCTTCTCACCAGCTGTGTTTTTCAATAGGAGTGAACCATGACCAGCTGTGCCAGAAATCTGAAAATATATACCTAAACCACGTTTTTTTCTTTATTTTACGCAAATCTTAATATTTGTTCGCGTTTGAGTATGATCTACATACATATGTACATACATACTTTAACTTGATAACACCTGCAATTAAGTATTCAAAACTTACGCCACACACTACGTTCGGCGTAGAAGACCGGCAGTTCTTCGGTAGGCGACGCCAAGCCTTCATCCAGTGAAAATCCCACATTTAACGATTTGAATTCTGCGGTGTGCACAAATGGGCGCATGCCATAGCGGCCACCCATTTCTTCATCTAAATGTGGATTTAAAGATAAGAACAAGCTTTTTAAAATTGGGATTTTTTGGGTTAAGGAGTAATTTTATGAATATATAGTACATATCTGTGGTCACAAGCAATAACCGCCTAAGTGGACTTAAGAAAGAAAGTTATATATGCTATCGTATTCTTCAACCACTATTCCATGCGTATGTGAAATCCTCATCTCGCCAGCTAGGCTACATAAAAAGTTATAGGCGAAAATATTTTCGTTTTCTTATAAGGCTAACATTATAATCCAAATGTTTAAAACGTTTTTTCTCGAATTCAGGTGTTTCGACTTAGGCGGTTATTGCTTATGACCACAGATATGTACATACTACATAGCGTTACTTTAATATACAGGGTGGCGACGAATAACTGTCGCCTACGTTTTTTTTTTTTAAATAAAACGGTCCTAGATTTTGTGAAAAAAATATTTTATTGTTAATTTTGTACATATTTTACTTTAATTTTATTGATTAGTTTAAACATTTTTAGCCTTATTTGCATTTACCAACAGGGTAAACTTTAAGTACTTGCGGCACGCAAGACAAAAAAATTGTAGCCGCTACAACGACAACAACAAAAAAGGTAAAATTGTATAGACATGGTCGAATGAATGGCCGAATCTATTCGATTGCTGAATATGACGCCTTATGTTGGACAAAAGGGGGAGTGTAAAGGAT